GATGATAATACACGGCGTTTACGATCATTTAAAGCTTGTCTTTCATCACTCCGAGCTTGCGTAGATTTTCCATCTACACCAGTGACTTGAGCTAATAAATTATTGAAAGTAGCTGCCGAAAGCTCCACTGCCGTTTCAATACTGAACAATGGAAATAAAACATCTGATTGAATGACCTCACCAAGAACATGCGAAGGTAAAGTAGGTATAACCGCGGAATCAATTTTCCCCACTGAAACAAATGTATTGAGCAACGCTTGACATTCACCTCGAATGCGGCGAAGAATAGATATAAGTTCCGAATAAAATTTTGGTGGTTCGGATTCCAGCATTAAGATCATATGGTTTGAAAGTTTAACTGCTAATGGCGATACGCTCAACAATGATGTTTGAATGTCGTAGCCTTCGTTCTTCACAATTGATCGTGCCCACTCTTCTATAATGACAGCAGCAAGTTGTTTATTTGATGCCCATGAAGACGACAAACAAGATATAATAATGTCTTCAAATGATGCTTCCAAAGACTAAAATTATTAATGTTCAAGATGATTTAATAAAACGAACACGGTTAAATTGAATACTATTTAACTAAACCAAAATTATTATCGTTCTACCTCATTAGGCCAATGACTCATTAACATACCCAGGCCTTTAGAAGCAGTGACTCTGCCTCTTAGTACAATGTCTACACTGACCAATGCAAAATCTTGTTGAAGCATCCCAGTATCAATATTATGAGCAGCTACATCATCACCGTCGTTTGTCTGGATACGCCCCTGTGATCGACGTCGCAAATTGGTAGATGATACAGCAGTAGGTGATGTTTCCATCGGAACTGGACCATCTGGTATAAAAAATAATCGTCGATCAATTGGAGTGCCTAATGGCGTCATAATTATCATAAACCATGTTCTGATATATGGAGCCGTAAAAGTGTTGATTTTATTTTCTTGGCCGGACTTTGATACATGAGACACTAAAGCAGACCAAACTTGAAGGGATAATTCGAGAACATCCTGAGATTATAAATGTTTTTCGGTGAAGATGGATTTAATTTCTCTTAACTATATAACTCAAAATAAAGAAATAGTATGTACGTTTTTTTCCTCAACGATCATGTTTTGAAAAACAAGTCTAAAAGTGCGGTAATCTACCCATTCTTCAACATCAGCCATACCAAGAAATGTCAATAATGTATTTAGGACCGCAGAACGCACGGATGTAATAGTGTGACGAAAGAATGGGTATAATCGAGGTATTAATGTTGTCAAAGAATGACTATAAAACCGTAAAATCTCGTAAAACACAAATAAATTAATAATTGAAATTTTTAAATGTTTTGGAATTACCTCGGATCAGAAATAGCAGCTGTTCTCATATATTCTAATACTTTTGGGAAAGAAAATAATCGAGCTAAATGATTTTTTAAATAAAAATAAAAATGTAATAGATCAATTAAATTATGGATAACACGATAATGTTTTATCTATATAGAAAAAAAAAATTCACCCAAAAAATCCATTACACTAGCTGTAGATGCTGTCAAATCGTCCTTCAAATCCTTTAAGCAATCCCATAACACTGTAACAATTTCTGGTATTTTGTGTGCAGAAAGTGTGACAAAATGTTCTGCAATCGGAATTAGAATAGATGCAGCAACAGCTCTAACATCAT